TTCAAAGGCTCTGCCTCTCTCCCTTATATATACTGAATTATACTGAATACTGTGTGTTCTGTGGATTGGTCGACTCGCGGACTTAGTCAGTCTTTAACGACCCCCTGTTATTGTGGCCTCTATAGCACTGTCATTCCGCAGGATCCGAGCAACGTTTGGCGGTACACGTAGGGACGACACCGGCGGCGCCTTTCTCGCCCTCTGTTCTGCTTGACCTGGTCATGACACTATATCCAGTTAGAGGAGCAGGAGATAGTGCGGTAGATGCAGCAAACGTCTGCTTCTACTATTATGATACTTACGTGCTTCATTTCACGTATGTTACACATACATGATTTTAAGCTTACTTTGTTTGCATTTAAACGTTTTCTTTTTCATTTATCAAACAGCATGCGCAATATAGAACTTCATTAACGACCCTTGTCGTCGGTATCCTTTCCGCTTCATCTGGCCCACCAGACGCCATCAGTTTTTTCAGACGCAGTATTTCCTACAGACTAACTGTCTCTAGTACGTCAAATGATAACATCTATTGTGGTCTATTTTTAAACGCGTAAACCTGGACACAACTTTACTTCTGCGTTACGACGTTTACTTGCCTAAGGAGCAAGTTCAGTCGTAACAGCAGAATAGTCTCTAGTAGTAAAAATGGAGAAAAAGGCACCTGAAGATTGTTCCAGAAAGCACATACCAAAACAAGATGGCTCCTTCTGTACTCGTCATTCATTAGTTGTTTACGTTCACTGGATCTGTCATCTCCGTCCCCGTTCCCTCAATGTGGTTCCATACCCTGCACCATTTTGCGCACTACTGACCAGAGCAAATCCAACGTTCAGCGGCTAAGCGTCGGCTATGTACCCTAGGAAGTCTTCCCATGCAGCTGGCAGACCAGCCGTCCTTACTCCGAAGCATAATCTGTATTATTGGGGGGGGGTTGGCAGATTTGTGACTTTGTGTTTATATTTTTACTACACAGAGCGACTGCACATCTGTATCTATATTTGTTAACGCCAAGAAGACACTATTGAAATAAACTGTATACTGAAATAATAATGACTATGTGCGCAGGTAAAATGCACCAATTAGTAATAGTGTAGGTAAAATGTGGCCTTTAAGGACAGGAGTTAGCGATATTTTGAAAATAATTGCGAACTAGGAAATAGGCAGCGAAAACTCTTCCATGCCGAAAACGAAGGCAGGATCCAACGGGCCTCCATTTTCAAAAAAAGAGTGTAGGAAACAAAACTTCTTAGGAAAATAATTATTGATTGACAAACTCGGGCAGTAAACAAGTGCAAAGGGAGGGAGACACAGTGAGGCAGACACTATGAAATCCATCCCCATGGAATCCTGATACATTTCTCAGTATAATAAATCTGACGTGCTCGAGTATTTCAATATTCATCGAACGGACAGCACAGGATAGAGTTAACACTTGAATCTATCACGACACACAACTAGTTGTGGCTTGGAAGGTTTAGAACTAATGAAATAACCGAGTCTTTTCCAGGACTCTGCGTCAGGCTGTCACTACTTATTCTCACAAATGTCAGTTGAGATCTATGTTAAGTATGCCCTGCATAAACACTATTTCTAACACGTTTATAAGTGTTGTAGACCTTAACGTAAGTTAGTCACTTCAATTTATAGA